CGCCGGCCCTGCCCGGCCTCCCGCCGCCGCTCCTCTGCGCCTTACCCCCGCTGCCGCTCACTCTCCTCTCGGCCTCTTCCCCAGGCATTTCCTCCGCCAAACAGAGGTTTTCTGATCAAAAAGAGGGTGCAGAGATCGCCCGAGTGGCGGAGGAGAAAAAAAAAATAAGAAAGAAAAAGAGAAAATGAGGTGTATGTGTGGGGGTGCTGAGTAAATTAGCAAAGAATTACAGCCACTATCAACCATGAGCAGGTATTTTCAACAGCTTGGGTACGAAATTCTGTAAATCGGGGTCTTCGTGTGCTGGAAGTCGCTGTGCCGGAGCACGGCGGGAGGCTGCACCGGGAGAGTCTCGTCCTCCTCGCCGCTGCTCGCCGGCCCCCAGCAGCCGCCCGCTTTCCTCGCTCTCGGCCGCACCTGAGCAGAGCCCGACAAAAGAGGCTCCCTGTCCGGAGCTCCCCGTCTCCGCCGTGCTCCGAGCCCCCTTCCGGCCGTCAACCCAAACCACGACTCCCACGACCAGCACCTCCAGCCTGTCCCCTTGGAAAAGCGGAGCCCTTCCTCTGTCCCCGCGTCTGAGGCCACTCATCTCTTCTGACATCCCAAATTTCATCTCTTGGCCGTTAAGCAGCCTTTAAAATACTCTTACAAGGCACCCTTCCTTGCCCCCTATATATCTTCTCATAAGTGGATTTCTAGCAGCTTCCTAGATGCTTCTTTTTTACCTCCAACTCTAAAAAATTCCCTTTTGGATATTTTCTTAGTGTATTGTGACACCGAAGTCTACGGTGGCAAAGTGATGGTTTTTCTAGGGAAAACTTAGATAAAAGATGAGTCCAAGGAAGGTTATTAAAATGATCTGGGTCTATTCAGAAAGATAAAGACAGTACCCGCTTAGTCATGCAGAGGTGCTCTCCAGCTTCGTGCTGTGTATGAAAGAGTGATTATTTATTTTATTGATTTATTTTAGAGGTAAAAAATATGATTGAAAACATTTAATTCGTGTCAGAGTCGTTGATAATCAATTATTGTCGCTTTGTAGTCTACTGCAAACAGACGTTCATCTCTGTGAGATCAAGGAGGGAGGTGTTGGCAGTGGCCGCACGCCTGTGGAGAAGCTCGGTGACACACAGGGAATGTAGTTCATGGAGAAAAGAGGGTTTGCGGTTATCTTTCATATATGCTTTATCTCCTTATGTTGCCACGTTCTCCCAGCACAAAACATCCATGTTCGTGAAGCACAAGCGTTTCGTTTCTCGCGTAACTGCTGGATACCCTTACCGGTATTTTTGTTAGCTCCCAGTAATACCAGTAATATTTGAAAAAGAGAAAAGCATGATGCTTGGGGGCATATTGTGGTTTTGACAGCGAGTCGCATATATGCAATTCACATGCGAGTAATAGTTTCCAAAGCCTTCCTGTGTAGGGCCGTTTTCTTTTAGGGAAAGCGTCGTTTAGGGAAAAGAGTTTAATCTGCGAGAAATTGCTTTCCTAATACGGGCTTTATAAGCCCCATGGACAGAAGACCGCACTTAATATAAACCCGACCATGTTTTTGAGCAAACGCAATGGTGAAAAGCGCATTTTTCAAAACCGGTCGAGGCTGATTTGCGTTTACCCCGACAGCGCGGGCGGCCGGGGGCTTGGGCGCTCACCCCGCCGCACGTACAGCCCCGCACCGGCACGGCCCCCAACAGACTCAAAAAATGAGAGTTCCGATGCTGTTCCCCAGCGGCACGCAGCAATGCACGCCAGACCGTGGCGTTGGTCCCGTCCCCGCGACTGTTCCCGTCGGGACCGGACCTTTCCCCGGCTCCAAGCTGCAGCGCTCTGCTGAGGCGCGGCGAGGAGGAAACACCCGAAACACATCTGAACTACGATCCCGCACTCTCCAGGTGGAAGCCGCCGCTTTCTGCCATGGAGAGGGACCGTCCCTTCGAGGGTCTCCTCGGCCGGGGCCGGCGCGAGCGCCCCGCGGGCCGCAAGGGGTTAAGAGGAGGCGCGCCCCGGCGCGCGTCCCGCGGAGCCGCTTCGTCCCGCGGCGGGAGCCAATGGGCGGGCGGGCCGCGCGGGGGCTGCCCAATGGGAAGGCGCGGGGCCGGCGCTGTCAGGCGGCCGTGAGGGATGGCAGCGCCGCCGGCAGAAAAAGCGGAGGGCGGGCGGGGGCGGGACAGAGCGGGGCGGAGGCAGCGCCCGTGCCGCCAGGGACCCGCGGCGGCGCCCGGTGCAGCGCGGTGGCCCCGGTGGCCCCGGCCCTATGGGCGGGCGGGCCGGCAGTGGCGCAGAGAGGCTGCTCCCGCTGGCGCCCGCCCTCCCGGCGGCAGAACAGGGCCCGGCACCGGCGCGGCGGCGGCCGGCGATGCGGTCGCCCAGCTGAAGGCGCGGCGCGGTCCGCTGCTCGTCCGTGGGGCTTGCCCGTCGCCGGGCCATGTCCGTCCGCGGCGGCAACGCCCTGACGCCTTTTTCCATCCAAGCCATCCTCAACAAGAAGGAGGAGCGCGCCCGCCACGCGGCGGGGCGGCCGCCGCCTCCGGGAGCGGCCGGCGGCTGTGCGGCGCCGCCGAGGACCCGCCGCTCCCCGCGCCCGCCGCCCGCGCCCCGGCCCTGCGAACGCCGGCGGGCTGGGACTCGGACTCCGCGCTCAGCGAGGACCCCGAGGGCGAGCGGCGCTCCGAGGAGGAGGGTGCCGGTGGCAGCGCCCGCCCCACAGAAGCCACGGGCGGGGGGCGGCCGGCGGAGGAGGAGGCGCAGCCCCCGGAGGCGGCGGAGCGGGACACCGCCGGCCTCAGCGACAGCGAGATGTCGGCCGCCGTCTCAGGTAGGGGCGGCCCCGATGGCGGCTCCTCCGCACCCGCGCGAGGAGGGCGGGAGGGCTCCGGAGGGCTGGGAACGGGAGATGATCGCGGCTTTCCACCGGCTCCCCGCGGTTGTGCGACAGGCTCGTTTGTGCCGGGTGGGGGAAAAAGCCCGAAACGCGTCCCGCGGGGCGAGGGAGGGCGGATCGGGGAGGGCCTTTGGCCAGGCTGATCCCGCAGCCCGCCAGGGCGCCCGACGCTTAAAGGCGAGCGAGAAGCCCCAGCTGCCGGCGGCGGCTGTCCCGGCGACGGGACGGGCAGCGGCTTGGCGGGCTCTCCGCTCGCCCCGTCGCTGCGGACTGGCCGCACGGAGCGCGCCTGGCCGCCCGTGCGCCGCTATCCCGGTGCCTGCCTGCCCTGACCGCCATGCTCTCGCCCTGCCCGCAGATCGCAGCCCCCCGGAGGAAGAGGACGGAGCGGGCAAGTGCGGGAATCTGCTGCCGGTGGAGGAGGAGGCGGCGGCGGCTCCGAAACCGCGGAAGAAGCGCTCTCGCGCAGCCTTTTCCCACGCGCAGGTCTTCGAGCTGGAGCGGCGCTTCAACCACCAGCGATACTTGTCGGGGCCCGAGCGGGCCGACCTGGCCGCCTCGCTGAAGCTCACCGAGACGCAGGTGAAGATCTGGTTTCAGAACCGGCGCTACAAGACCAAGCGGCGGCAGATGGCCGCCGACCTCCTGGCAGCCGCCCCCGCCGCCAAGAAGGTGGCCGTCAAGGTGCTGGTGCGCGACGACCAGAGACAGTACCACCCTGGCGAGGTGCTGCGGCCGCCCTCGCTGCTCTCCCTCCAGCCATCCTACTACTACCCCTACTACTGCCTTCCCGGGTGGGCTCTGTCCACCTGCGCCGCAGCCGCCGGCACCCAGTGAGAGGCACACATACACACCCCCCTGGCCCCGACACCCCCAGCATACACACTGGCAGCCAGGAAACCCATCTTCCCTCTGCCACCCCCCCATCCATCAGTCCATCCGTTCAGCTTCTCAAGTCCAGAGCCTCAGCTGCAGCTCTCAGTGCCTCGGACAGTATTTATTATTATTTTATTGTTATTTTTATTATTAATATTTTTGGACGGTTTCTCACCCTCTCCTCTTTCAACACAGGACTTCTCGGCCACCCCCACCCTGACCCTCACCCCGTCCCCATTCCACCAGCCGAGGACTCTCGTGATTCAGCACAACTTGTTCATGGTATCCATGTTGTCAGTGTATCTGGTGTAGACTTTTTGTTTGTTTGTTTTATTTTGCTTCGGACTGGTAGAGACTCGATCTTGTGTGGAGAAAATGAGAGAGAAAACAAAGGAGAGGAAAAAAAAGTACAACCCACAAAACCAAATGCAGCTCAAAAGCAGAGATCAAGGACTCCCTCAGTGGATTGTAAGGAAGATTTGTCGTCTGAGTCCTTGGTCTTCCAACTTGTTGCAAACTTAGTGTGCCTTGTATGGTGCTGAATGTATGGAAGCCTCTTTCAGGTCCCCCTGCTCTTGTAGCCCATGTTATTCCTGTGCTCCATGATCCCTGGCAAAGGATAAATATGTCACAAAAGGGTGAGGCTTATATTGAAACTCCTGACTTCTTGTTTTCTTTTTTTCCTGAGATCTTTCCGTGTTCGGGGAGGGAGGAGTTATGGATTTTTCGCACTTTCCAGATGTATTAAAGTTGTTGTTATTTTTATATTCAATGTGAATATTTCTAGTCAGGCTTTTTAAAAAATCGATGTAACAGGAAACTTTAATACCATCAGTGCCTTTTACAGTTTTTCTGCAGAGCTCTCCTCCAGGGGTGGGGATTTCTGATCTGCTCAGCAATGTAATTACGGTCTCTTTCTTCCAAGGTAGCTCATTGCTTTTTTTTTCCCCTTCTATTTTTTCCCCCCTCCATTTCTCTTTTAATGGCACTGTGCACTCAACTAGATTATTTACTTCAAATGAATTGTGAATGTTTGTAAGCTACCCGCTGTACTTGTTTTGTTGTTGTTTTTTTAATTTATAAACTTTAGTTTAACACTTACCTCTGCTGCTTGTGTCGTTCCTGAGAGCAGACATGGATTTCTCCAGTGATATTTTTTCCCTGCAGCAGACCTCACAGCTCAGACCACATCCCTCCGTTTCCCACTTGCACGGTGAGGATCGTGGGGCCTGGTGGAGATCTGGGCCGCCTTACCCGGCTGCACCGGTCAGCGCTGATGTCCGTTCCCTCTGTGGGAGGCGGAGGGGACCCAGGAGCTCTGTCCGGGCGCCTTAGTCCCTTCTTTGGTAACGCTTTTCCCGGATGGAGTGATCCCCGTGTGCCGGAGAGCCGGGATCACTGGCTGAATTTACGGGTGCTGGTAGCGGTGAGGACGCAGCGCAGTCGGAGGAGCCACTAGGACCTCGAAATGCTTTTCCCGGTCGATGGCGGCCTCACCGTGCAGGCTGCGCCCCCCTCTATCCCGGCCGTGCTTGTTTAAAACCTTGGCGGATCCTGGGGAAAGTGCGTGGGTCGGTGGATTGTTTTCTCTCTGCTAGAACGTGGCAGAGAGACCGGGGGCACGGGCACAGGATTGGGTTGCAAGAGGGGGCCGGCGACCTCGACGAAACTGCCCAGGCCGCGACACAGCCGCGATAGCCACTTGGGGCGGCCTCCCTCCTTGCACTGAATCTTCTCCAAGCCTCTGCTGCGAGCCCGGGCCCTCGGCGCGGTGCTGGCGGCTCTTCCCCGCCGTCAGCTGCAGTCCTCGGGCGTGTCGGCCGAAGGGGAGGGCAGGCTGTCGTGGGATGGGCAGCTTCACCCGGGGGGCCGAGGCCGGGCAGTGGCTCTCGGAGGCTCCGGACCCGGTGATGGCTGCAGCTGTTTCTCTGCCCCGATGGAGCTCTGCCCGGACCACGCTCACAGGCGGCCGCGTTGCCTGGGCGCCGCTGATTCCTCATCACTGCCGGCTTCTTTCCTTTCCCGCTGGTTCGCACGGGCTTTCGCTGCTGCTCCCGGGCGTGGAGTGGTTCGCAGGAAGCCCCTGCTGCCCCATCGCTTCCCGGCCGCTATGCTTGCAAGCCGCCCCAAGGTGCAGCCGGACTGTTTCCCTGTCAGCCCCTCGCTCCGGCCCTCCCTTGCTGTTATTTCGCTTTCCCCAGGCTCGGGCACCCCGCAGATTAGATGTCTCCCGGCTGGCACCTCTAGCAGCACTCGGCGGCAGTGGTTGCCCGTGGGCTGCCCCAGTCCCAGCACGGGCTGGGGACGAGCTCTCTGTTCCCAAAGCCGACAGCCGTCGTGACACCGGGGGAAATGCTTAGGGTTTGGTTTTGCTCTGCCGGGCGCGTCAGCAGTCCTGCAGCCGAAAAGCGTGCTCCAGATGTAGCAGTCCCTTGGCAGATACGGGAAGACTGACATTTATTTGGCCCGATCCCGAAGTTCCTCGCCCTTTCTTATTTTTATTTTTATTTTTCTTTTGGTAACTATTTTCTTCCGATATTCCCAGCACTTTACTTTCTGGAAAACCGAAGCTTTTGGACGGCAGAATCTGGACCCCCGTGCACTTAGGGAGGTAAAGAGATGCCACTGCTGCCCTGCAGTTTGCCTTCTCCTGGCCCCTGGGGACGTTTCTCTGCCTGCAGCCCCGTACAAGACACCGAGCCGCTGACTATGTCACGTTCGATGGTACCCCCACACCAGAGGAGGTTTTGTCCCCGGCGAGGGCAGCTTTTGGCAAAGCCGGCTGTGGTCCCTATCGGGCCCCCTGTCCGAGGGAGCAGACTATTGCTAAGACTAATTTTCTTTCCCTTTAGGTCATCGTGTTGAATTATTTTGATTAGTGCTTGCTAACCGATGTAGTGCTCCAGGGAACCTCCTGATATAAAAGGAAAGTGATGGTTATTAGAGATTCCTTGGGTTGTAACACTGGGTAAAAGAGAGAATAAAGTGTCAAACTATTTTCTTATGAGCCAGGTAAAACTAATGTGCATTTTACTCGAGATAGAAGTTGCTGGAAAAGCTGATCCGAGTAAAGTTGTCCGCAATTTTAGTACTGGTGTTTAATATCGAACATTTATGCATTGACGTATTATGCATCTTCTTTTGATGTTGACAAAATCTGGTATTTGAGAAACGTCAGTATTTGATATTGGGAAAATTTAATCGATAATTTAATGGATTTTTTCTGGAATTTGAGGCGTTTCTATTCCTGTTTTTACTTATAATTTTGATTTTTGAAATATAAACTCTCTGCATCCTTTCTTTTCTTTATGGTAAAATCCCCAGTAACATGCGTGTAACTGTACCGAGGCCAAAGGAATTACTCTGTATTTTTGGCGTTTAAGTCATCAGCAAAACCTGGGCTTTAACATGCTCTCTTCACACATCCTCAAACACACATTCAGCTCATCAGCACATACACGGCTGCTACGTAAAAATAATCTCCCTAACGACGTGTCCCAATTTCGGCCTCTCACAAACCCCGAATTGCACAGGGGCCGTGGGAATCATTTTCCATCTGACCATGGGCAAGCTGTAGTCTTAAAAGAAAATTCTTGCAAAGACAAGGGGGAGAGGGGGGAAATACCGCAGCTCCAAGAAATTCGATTGTTGAAATGTAATGTAAATTGTGTATATCTTTGCATATGTCTCCATTGGCGCTTGTGTTTGTGTATTAAACAATCGCACAGGCGCAGAGTCCAACTCTGCAGCCGGGAGGCTGCCTATATTTAGCTACGTCCCGCTCGCTCGCAGTGTAATAAAACAGGAAACCACGTTGATTTTCCCCCATTCCTCACATACACACTCACACAAACACACTCAGGTAGAAATCAGAGACACTTTCCCGGGAGGAGGAGGAGCAGCAGCAGAAGATACCGGGGCACAGACAGCACCCCCCCCCCCCGGCAGTGCAGCACCTGCCCAGCCTCCCAGGGGCTCCCGGGAGCAGAGGCCAAAGGTGGCCCGAGGTTAAGGGCCTCTCCCCGGCAGGCCTTGGCAGGCTTTTTTCCGCTCCGTTTCTCCTGTCAGTGGGACGGCGACGCGCCCCGAGAGCGGCCCCGGGCCGGGCCCGCGGGGGATCCCGGCCGCCTTTCCAGCGGCTCTCCCGGGTGTGCAGCACCAAACCAGCGGGGCAGCCGCTCCTCTGGGGCGGCTCCGAAGACAAAGATGGGGTCCTCCTCCAGGCGACCAGAAAGCCAGAGCCCGCGGCCCCTGGAGATCCAGGGCACTGCCAGTAGTGTCTCCATAGAGCAGCCTGGCTCTTCCCGAGGTGATGGGAAAAATAAAGGGCAGGTCTTTTTGTCCCGGACACATAATCGGGGATATTACCTCTCCGAACCTTTCCGAAAGCCGCAAGAAAGTGGACCGCTCCTTCGCGTTCTCCGCTGCTGCGGGGGAAAAACGTGATTAACTGGGAGCAAAATGAACCAGGGAGAAAGCAAATGACGCCTTTCCCAAGCTGGTGTCACAGCGGTCAGTGCCGGGACACCGCATGGCTCCGGGACAGACAGCGCTCCCTCCTCCGGTGGGCCAGCAGATTCTGCCCGGGAGCCCCGCTGCCTCCTGCGGCACCCCGCACCGCTCTGTGCCCGGGCAGCCGCACTAACCCGCACCCCGGCTGGCCGGCTCTCTGCCGAGGGACCGCGGGAGAGGAGGGACTCTAACCCGCAGGTGGGGCTTGCCGTTTTCCTAGAACATGTTTAATATCCGTGGTGTTGGGTTTTTGTTTTTTGGGTTTTTTGTTTGCTTGTTTGTTTGTTTTTGTATGATGGGTTTGTTTTTTTGAGTTTTCTTTGGTTTGGCTTCTGTGGGGTTTTGGGGTTTTTTCTTGGGTTTAGTTCTCTGCGGGTTTTTTTTGTTTTTTTGTTTTTTTGTTTTTTGTTTTTTTTAAGGGAGGGATGGAGTGGAGAGAGAGGGCGAGTTCACGCCCGGGCCGGCTCGGGAGGAGGGTGTCGTGGTGACTGGAGCAGGCCAGGGACAAGGGCTGTCCTCCTCCACCCACAGCCGCAGACACCTCCCTGGCTCCCTCCTAGACAGGTCCTACGGCCCACAGAGGAAAACCCTGGCAAAGGATGAGGGGTTTGGCTCCTCGGTCCGAGGCCCTTGGGGTGGCAGAAGGACCATCTCTGGCTCTTTCTCCGGTGTTCCACCAAGCCTGTTGATCCATTCCAGAGTCACTAGACGTGTTTGGCATCCCAAGTGATGCTGGCGATACTCAGGGTGATCCTTGAAAAAAATTAGAGTGGGGAGTGGTGGCTGCAGAGCTGCAGTTTAAGATGTTTTGTGGTTCTCAGGTGCTTCTGTGGGTTCTTGTCTAAAACCTGACTCGGTAGTAAAGAGTCCACGGCTTGGGATCCCGAAGGACACGAATGGCAGCCAGCAACACATCCCCTGCTGAAACAGAAACTAGCCAGGGAAGTCTCTCCCGAAGCAGTGGGTCGGCGCTGGGAGAGACAGAAAGGGGCGCAGAAGGCGACCCGCGGGGACTACCTGACATCTACAGAGGGATGCAAGTAGCCAGCAGGACTGGTGAACCATGTCCTTCCCACCAGAGTAGGGACATAGCTAATAACAATAACAATAACAATAAAAAAAAAACAGGTTAAAATGCTTGTAGGTATTTTAAACATTTTTTTCTTTATTGAAAAAAAAGAAGAAAAAAAAAAGGAAAAAAATAAAAGAAATATGAGAGCTAGGAAGGCCACACACAGCCTTTTCATGCACGGCCGATTGACAAGTAAAACAGTGCTTCCACACCGAACAAGAATGGTAGAAAACCATAAAACTGTTGGAAAGGAAAAGACGGGTCTGATGTTCAGCTTTCCGGGTCTGGAGGGTATCAGCGTGCGAGCAGGGGAGCCGGCGGGGGGCAGAGGGGCTGCGGGGGGGTGGCCGCCAGGCTGGGGCCGGCGCTGGGGCGAGCACCCACGGGACAGGAGCCGCTGCTC